CCTTGGACTCGGCGGAGTCGAAACTGTGCACGCTCCCCTCCGTCCTCCCCTCCTGTCCTCTCTTCCCTTCTGTTGTGCCACTCTCCCGCCGGGCGGCTAACGCCAAACTTCGCCGGTGACCTTTGGCTGCTGCCCGCGGCCTCCGCAAGGTCACCGGCCGGCGTCCTTGTCCGGGGAAGGCTTCTCAAAAGTTCCGCCCCCCGGGAGCCGGGGGGACCCGTTTTTGTCCATCGTTGTCCCGGCCACGTGGCCGATATTCGGCCGGCCAGGGCAGGGAAGCAGCACGCCCCCCGGCGGAGCGCTGGAATGGAATCTGGGCCGCCAGCGCGCCCGAACACTTGCAAATATACATCCGTATGGCATGCTATCGTCCGTAGTCGTAGGGACGGCGGCCGGGTCAGACCGCCCCGCATTGATCCTCTCGTTGCGTGCGGGGGGCCCGACTGGTAACCGGGAGGCCTGCGTTTTTTTGTTCGTTTCATCACGTTTCCTCCTTCCCTCTCGCCTCTCCTCCTGCCGCTGCCGCCGCTGCCGCTCCACCACATTGTGCTATCGTGAGACTTTGAAGGATTCGCTCCGTGTGGAGCTGCACTCGTGGGGGACCTTCGAGTGCTTTTCGGGTTGTAAGTTCGCGTGATCGTTCACGGGGCTCTTTCTCAGATAGTTAAATATATAACTATGCAGTTTTGCCCCGACTCCCCAGCTGCGCGCAACGGCTCGCCTATTGCAGGTTGGCCTGAGCGCCGCTCCTGGTGTCTCGGCTGGTTCGCCCGCCTCTCTCCCCTCCTTTTCCTCCCTCTCCGCCTCCTCTTCCCTCCTCCTCCAGCTGATTTGAGCCCGGAACGCCGTTTCAAGTGTGACCGCTCTGCGGCTCGGTTGGTTATGATTTGAGCCGGGGAAGCCGTTTCAAGTGTGACCGCTCTGCGGCTCTGTTGGTCATGCTGTCGTCGCTGCAGAGGCTCGTCGCGCTGGGGGAAAAAAAAATCAAGGCAGCAGCTCCTCACGGCCTTGAAATACACCCGACCAAAACAAAGATCATGACAAACCGGACCATGACCCGCACGCGTTCGGCGAGAGTTGCAACCATGGACATCGAAGTACTACCACCTTCCGGATCGCTGAAATATCTCGGCCAGACCGTAATTTTTCAAGACGCATCGGCGACCGAAATCCAGCATCGCATCCAGGCGGCATGGGCCGGGCGTGCTTCACAGGGCATAGACAGGAACTAACGAGCAAACGCTACCCACTCAAACACAGACTACGACTGTACCGTGGCACCGTCATACCCACAATAATGTACGGCGCAGAGTCATGGGCAATAACATAACCCCTCAAACAGCAGTAGCGCCGCACGCAACGACGGATGGTCAGAGCGATTCTTGGGACACCGCAGCGACGCACGTCAGCAGCTTCGTCACGCATGCTATCCCAGCGACGGGTAACTCTGACAACGATGATCTCGACGGTAACGCTTCTGACGACTCCAGCGACCACGACGCTTCCAGCGACCCGCCGACTCCATCAGACCCACCCCGAACAAGTGACGACAGCATCGACCCACCCCACACGATCCAGACACGCCAGCTGGCAGCAGACGATGCCGAACTCTGGTCTGACTAAATCTGCCGGTGCACCCGCAGAGCGGAGGAACTCATGAGCATGCACGACATCCCAGACGTCACCCAAATGCATCGCAAAATGGTTTGGCAGTGGGCGGCACGCGTAGCGACCCACCCACCCACCAAACAGGTGGACTCAGCGAGCCCTGACATGGAATCCCAGTAGGGACACAAAACAAAAGGGTTATCGGCAGCACGGTGGCCAGCACAAGCGATGGGATGAGGATTTGCGAAAGTTCCTAAACAATGTACATCGACAGACAGGCGACGATGACACAACGCGACGCCAACGACGACGCCACCCAACCACGACGATACCTCCACCGCGACACCAACGATGTAAGGTGGCGACCAGCTTTGACACGGACGGCATGGTGGAACTCACTCGAGGGAGCCTTTGTCGCTGCATGGTTCTAGCCATGCAGCACTGACGGCCGACCACGCGACCACAAGCACCGACCACCAACAACCAAGCACTAAACACCGACTACCGGCGCCTTGCGCCAACACTAACACCAAACCCGGCACAGAGGACCAACACAGACTCTACCCGGCGACGTGGACCAACACAGACTCTACAAGGATTCCTCCCCCTCCTCCCCTTCCCTCCGTTTCACATAATTTTTTACATGTCTCGCATGCAAACCTCACCATACATAACACTATTTCAGAGGCCACGGCCTCATTCACCTGGTCTCCAGTAGGCCCAGACTGCTGTCCGCATTGGTGGTCGTTCGTCGTTCGTTCGTTCGTTCCTGCTCCTGCTTCCGCTAATGATTCTGCTCCTGCTCTCCTTGTCTCTCGCCGTTTTTTTGTGTTTGTTTTTGTTGTTGTTGTTGATATTTTTCCTCCTCCTCCTCCATCGAGAGGACGAGGGGGGAAAGGCGAGGGAGAACAGGGAATGAGGCAGGTCAGTAAGGATTTGGTGGAGCAGCAGGGAGAATGGGAGGAGGATGAGTGGAAGAGGGATGCAGGGAGGGAGGAGAGGATGGGGCGGATGGAGATTTGAGTCAGGAGGCATGTGATGATGACAGTGGTGGCGATGGCGATGGCGATGGCGATGATGACGACGACGCTGCTGCTGCTGATGACGGCGGTGGTGGTGATGGTGGTGGTGGTGGTGATGATGATGATGATGATGATGATGATGATGATCATGATGATGCTGTGAGGATGGGAACGAGGATGAGGATGAGGGTGAGGATGAGGATGTTGGGTGATTAACTGTAGACGGCTGCATGGATGGATATGATGCTGATGCTGCTGCTGGTGATGATGACGGTGATGATGTCGATGCTGACGATGATGATGATGATGATGATGATGATGATGATGATGATGATGATGGTGATGATGATGATGATGATTGATGATGATGATGATGATGATGATGATGATGATGATGATGATGATGTCGATGATGATGATGATGAGACTGAGACGGCGTCTGTTGATGAGGATTGGTATGATGTTGTTGATGCTGGCGATGATGACGACATTAGCGACGACGATGACGCCTTTTATTACGGTGCTGCTGATGATGAAGCGGCTGATATGATTATGATGATGCTGATGATGATGCAGATGATGATGAGGAGGAGGATGAGACGGATGGCAACGATGAGGAAGACGATTATGAGGAGCAGGAGGAGGATGAAGAGGAGGAGGAGGAGGAGGAGGAGGAGGAGGAGGGGGAGGAAGATGAGGATGAGGAGGAGGAGGTGGACGATGATGATGATGATGATGATGATGATGATGATGACGATATTGATGATGATGATCATGCTGCTGTTGATAATGGTAGGTTGATGACGATGCTGATGATGCTGATGATGATATGCTGATGATGCTGATGATGAGGATGACGATGACGACGATGATGGTGCTGATTATGATGATGACGAGGATGATGATGATAGGATGATGGTGATGCTGATGCTGCTGCTGATGACGACGGCGGCGACGACGATGATGATGATGATGCTGCTGATGATGATGATAATAATGATGACGATTCCAATGATGACGATGATGATAATGATGATGATGCTGATGATGATGATGACGATGCTGATGATGATGATGATGATGATGATGCTGTTGATGGTGATTATGATGGTAATGCTGATGCTGCTGATGATACTGATGCTGCTGCTGATGACGATGCTGATGTCGCTGATGCTGATGATGACGACGATGATGACGATGATGATGATGCGGATGTTGATGCTGATGATGCTGCTGCTGCTGATGATGCTGATGATGATGCTGATGAGGTCGATGCTGATGATGCAAATGATGATGATGATGATGATGATGATGATGATGATGATGATGATGATGATGATGATGATGCTGCTGATGCTGATGATGATGATGATGATGATGATGATGATGGTGGTGGTGGTGGTGGTGGTGGTGCTGATGATGATACAGATGAGGCTTATGCTGCTGATGATGCTGTCGTCGGAAAACCGTAGGATGATAACGAGCAAGCGCGGTGGGTGCATATAATTCAGTGAGTGGGGACGAGGAGAGTGAGGCATACCATTGTTTTACGCCGATATGCACATGTTGATTTGTTCCAGTTGTTTCTGACGACTTCTGCCACCGTTTCAGCGCAGCATTTTTCGTGTGTTGGGACGCTTTGGACACTGCCGAGATTGCGGCAATATGTGACGTCTCTGGTCTCTATTCGCTGAGGAGCTCTTATGAGGCCTTCCTGGGCAGTCTTGGGGCTATCTTGGGCTGCCATGGGGCCGCCCTGGGGCCCTCTTGGGCCGTGTTGCGGCTCTCTTCTGCCGACTTGGTTCCGTCTTGGGCCGTCTTGGGAGTCTAGTGGCATTCTCTGGCCATCTTGGGGCTCTCTTCGGATGGGCCGCCTGGGAGGCATTCTTGGGCCTTCATTGGGCCCGTTTGGCTTCCCTTTGGCTCTTCCAAGACCCATCGTGACAGTATTGAGCCGACGGGCCCTGGAAACAGAAGTGTTCGGATGCGTTCCTGAGTGTTTGAGCCATTTTGGCCTTCATGGAGGGCCTCCCCTTCTCTTTGGTGTCTTGAAGGCCTGTGGTCCATGTGGTACCTCTTTGCTTGTCCTGCTCCTCCTCAACCAGCCTGCTTCTTCCTCCCTCCTCTGGACTCATCCTCCTCCCTCCTGGTCCTCCAAACGACTCCTGATGCTTAGCTTGCCCGTTACTCCCCCCTCTTTGGTGGCTCCTTCCTCCCTCCCCCCCTCTTTTCTCCTTCCTCCTTTTTCCTTCCGTCCTCTTCCCCTGGTGCATCCTTCCTCCTTCCTCCTTCCTCCGTTCTGAGAGGGGGTCGGCGCGGGGGGTGGGTGGGCGGAGGGGCTGCGACGGTGGTAAGTTGCTGATTGCCCAGGCTGGCGCGCCTGGCGGCGCATCAGGACGGGCTCTTCTGCCGCCGCGCGACCTCATCCTGACAAGCTTCCGGTCTTCTCGTCATCATGACTCCACGTTCGTTGGGTATGGCTCGTTGGCCAGGTGCCACTGATGACGATGCTGATGATGATGATGCTGATGCTGCTGATGCTGCTGATGATGCTGATGATGCTGACGATGCCGATGACGATGCCAATGCCGATTACGATGACGATTACGATGACGATGGCGATGCTGCTGACGATGATGAGGACGATGATGCGGATGACGATGATGCTGATGATGCTGCTTATGATGCTGATTATGATGCTGATTATGATGATGATGATGATGCTGATGATGATTATGATGATGATGATGATGAGCATGCTGCTGATGACGATGCGGCTGCTGCTGCTGCTGCTGATGATGATGATGATGATGATGATGATGATGATGATAATGAGGCTGTTGCCGTTGCTGCTGATGAATATGATGATGATGATGCGGATCATGCATATACGGACGATGATAATGTTATTGCTGTTGCTGCTGATAATTGAGATGATGTTGAGCTCCCATTTCTGAACAATATTTTTTGTTGATCCTCCCTCAAAGGTGCATTCTGTTTTTTCAATCAAAGTGTGCCCCCTCGACGCTCGCACCCGGTTTTTTGACAGGGAAAGTCTTCGTGCTCAAACTGGGCCCCGGCCCCCCCCCCCCCCCCGGATTACAGCAACAACGGCTACCGCCTGAGACTTCCTCCAAATGTACTCAGGACCCCCGCTCCTGAGACTTCCTCACAATTTACTCAGGATCGGTGCTCCCGCCTGTGACTTCCTCACAACGTAGACAGGACCCCCGCTCCCATCCGAGACTTCCACGCTCAGGAATTGCGCTCTCGCCTGTGACTTCCATGCAATTTATTAAGAAATCGCGCTTTCGACGCTCAGGAAACACGCTGCGCCAAGGACGCCATTACAATTTACTTAGTAGTCGCGCTTTCGCCCGCCCGAGAGACTTCCTTCAGGAACGGCGCTTTCGCCTAGGACTTCCTCGAACGTTCACGCTCTTACCTTCCTGCTCCTCCTCCCTCTCCCTCCTCCCTCCTCCCTCCTCTCCTTCCTTCTCTCTCCCTCCTCTCTTTCCTCCTCCTTATACCTCCTCTGTGCCCTATCCCCTCTCCCTCCTCTCCCTCCTCCCTTCTCCCTCCCCTCTCCTGCCTCCTCCCTCTTTCTTTCTTTCTTTCTCTCTCTCTCTCTCCCCTCTCTCTCTCTCTTTTTCTACCTGTCTTATCTGTCTTGCTCTCTCTCTGTGCCACTAATCAACCGCCCCCCTCTTCGCTCCTTCTCTCCTGGCGTTTTCCCTCTTCCTTCGTCCCTTACCCTCCCTTCTTCCCACTCTCCTTGGTTCTCCCCCTCCTCCTTTTGCAGGACCCACACTAATTCCAATGGCGGGCACATGTACGCCCACGAAGGATTGCCCGCCCGTTCAGGTTTGCCCGCCTGTCTAAGCCCGCCGCCCCGCGCAAAGAGAAATAATCACCCCAAAGGGGGTGTGATCGAAGACGGAAAGGGGGGGGGGTAATCGAGGATGTGGGGGATTCGTTTTGAATGACATGCGGGCATTTAAGAGCGAACAAGTTTATAATGATTGTGGCTGTTTATGACGATGCTGACGACGATGCTGATCATGATGCCGTTGTTTGTCGTGCTGCTGATAACGATGCTGATGCTGATGGTGATGATGAGGACGGAGGTGATGCTGATTATGATGGCGGTGATGATGATGCTGATGGTGATGATGCTGTTGATGATGATGACGATTTGGGATGATGGTGAATGATGCTGGATGCTGATGCTGCTGCTGCTGATGATGATGAGGGTGATGTTGTTGGTGGTGGTGGTTGTGGTGGTGGTGATGATGATGACGAGGAGGATGACGAGGATCCTGATAATGATCCTGATGCTGACGGTGGTGATAGCGATGGCGACGGGGAAGTCGATGTCGATGGTGGTGATGATGGTGGTGGTGATGATGGTGGTGCTGGTGTTGAGGAGGAGGAGGAGGAGGAGGAGGAGGAGCAGGAGGAGGAACAGGAGGAGGAGGAGGAGGAGGAGGAGGAGGAGGAGGAGGAGGAGCAGGAGCAGGAGCGAGGAGCAGGAGGAGGAGGAGCAGGAGGAGCAGGAGGAGGAGCAGGAGGAGGAGCAGGAGGAGGAGGAGGAGGAGGAGGAGGAGGAGGAGGAGGAGGAGGAGGAGGAGGAGGAGGAAGAGAGGAGGAGGCGGCTCTCGCCGCCCAGCCCCGCGCAGCTGGCCGATCCCTCCGGCTCGACCGCCCCCGCGCCAGGGCTCCGTGCCCGTGTCGCTCTGGGGCGCCGCTGCGCTCGGCGCGGCCTCGGAGGCGGGCGGCCGTCCATCTATCAGGGGTAACGTTAGGGTCAACTAGGTAAACTGATGTACATCTGGAGCAGGTGAGGTAATTCTAGAGATGTCCAGATACATCCGGGGAGCTAGTGCAAGGCCCAGCGCGAGTCGATGGACGGCAGAAGCCTCAAAGCCCCTGGCGATCAAAGCGACGCACCCGTCACATCAAGGGCAACGTTAGGAGGGAATAGGCTCAGGGGGGGATGCATCGACCCCCAATCGCCCATTGATCGCCGATAGGGGCTCGATAGCCCACCCCGCCCAAGACCGTGCGGGTTCGCTATCGGGGTCCTACCGCCAATCTATCGGCGATATATTGCCGATCCCAGCCGATGTTTTCCTTCTGGGCCGGTCCCCCCCTATCGTTCCCCCCCAGCCTGTCCCAAAGCCGTGGGAGGTCAAATCCAGGTCTCACAGATTGGGCTGCCTCTCCTTCTCTGTATCGTCCTTGTCCTCCTCTTCCTCATCGAGGCTCCTCTCTCTCCTCCTCTGCCCCCCTCCCGACGTACCCTCTCGGCAAGGAGATTACTTCATTCAGTGCGCAGGCGGCCTTAAGGTAATAGACCGTGCAAGCCGAGCTCAGCACAGCAGGCATTGCCCCACCAGGCAAGACCTCTCTCTGCTCCTCTCTCTCCTCCTCCCTCTCCTCCTCTTCTCCCCTCCTCTTTTCCCCCCTTTCCCCTCCTCCTCGTCCGTGGGTCCCCGGACCCCTTGCTGGGTTCGTCCTGGCTCGTTTCCTGACGCGGATCCAGCCGTGGCGATGAGAAGCCTGCTGGAGTCCCAAGAGGGACGAAAAACGGCAGGGAGGGCTGCCGTTGTCTCGACTGGCCCTGCCTCGAAATGAAACCGCCCATGGATCACGTGGTCCACAGCCTAAGGATCCAGGCCTCTCACATGGGGGCCAGAGAAGACGGGGCCAGCGGATCGCGCCACATCGCCGATGCATCGGCGATGCAGCTCGATGTGGAGCCCGATGTTCTGCACGCTGATGTCGCTGATGCATTACCGACGTCGCCGATGTATCGCCGATGCACTGGCGATGCGGCGCGATCCTCCGACCCCATCTTCTCGGACCACCCCATCTTGTCGGACCTCATTTGGGAGGCGTCTCTTCAAGGGGTTCTCGAGGGGTCTCCGAGGCTGACGTGTTATGGCAGCTGTGCATCGGCGAGGGCTCTCTCGGGGCGCTAGAATCCTCCCAACTGGTCCTCTCTGGTCAGAGTTTCACACGGACGGGAAGGATGCCCTGCTCGTCCTTGCGCGTTTTCATTTCCTTTTCGGCCCGAGAGGAGTCTCGTCGCCGCGATTTGGCGCGACTCGTGAAGCTGGGCAGGACTTTGCCCAGGAGGAGTCTGGGGGCTGGTCCTGAACGGAATCTGCCTTGGGCGGAAGAGGGTATGTATGCTATGGTGTGCGTATGAACATGTAGTTGCCTTCGGTCCATCCGCCACCGTGCCTGGGTTGGAGGTCAGAAGCCCATCGTGGGCGATCATCGTGCAACGTTGAATCGCGGTCACGAAAGCGCGGGGCGGGCGCCCCCCACCCCAGCCCTCATGCCTGGGCGAACGGGAAGGGGCGCCGCGCGACGCGCAGCGGCGCGGGGCGACGCTTGCCCAGGCGATGGGCGCGAGGCGTCGCGCAGGCCGCCCTGCTTGCATGGGCGAGCGCGCGAGGGGGCGCGTGCGCCGCCCAGGGTTGGGAGGGGCGTCGCGCACGCACGGCTGGTGGGGGGTGTCCCGCCATGCTCGGCGAGAGGCACCTGCGGTGCGGCTTTTGCCCGACTCGGTGGAAGGCGAGTGGCACCGCATGGTGGAAGGCAGGACCGCCCGAGGCCAGGTCTTCCTCCCGGCCCTCCGCCCGCAGACAGTGGTGACAGCGTGGCAGTGCGCCCGCGGCTTCCGCCGGGGCCGCCACCTGGATGGCGGCCGAAGCGCGGGGGCGAAGCTGGGCTGGCGGCGCCTGAACAATTGTACGAGGCGTTGCGCCCCGGCGGCGCGCAAGGCGACCCTGCGGAGGGCTCGCAAACTCGAGGAGCGGTCGAGGCCGTGGTTGAGTATGCTGTGTCGCAGGCGAATCAATTGGACGCGCCCAGTGAGGGGCCACGTCGTGCCCTCGACGGCGTCGCTGTAATGAGCCCGGCCGAACGCCGGCGCTTTGCCACGAGGGCGCGCTCGGACGCGGCGCTTGGCAGCTGTCCTCGCTCGGTGCAGAGCGTCCGCAGTGCGTTGGTGGTTGCGCTTCTCAAAGTGCGTCCTTGGGCGTGATTCGCCTTTTCCCATCAGCGCGGAGGACCTCCAGATCGCCAGTGCGCTTTTTCGTGTGAGCGGCACGTTCGCTAATTATTGCGGGCGTTGGCGCACGGCATCAGAGCTGTCATCGGTGTCGACGGCCGCCTGCGGTGATCGGAGCGTGAAGCGGGCGCGATTGGGCATCGCGAAGAGGTGCCCGACAACCCCGAGAGTTAAACGTTTTGTGCAGCATGTCCTCCTGTCCAGAATCGTTGAAGCGAGCGTCGCCGGCGAGGTGGCCGCGTCTGTCAGAAGAGACGTGGCGATGCTCATGTGATTCGGCTACGCGTTCCTGTTGCGCTTGCCAAGTGAGGGCTTGCCAGCTGTCTTCGATGGTTCGGCATTCAACGTGCAGCACCGGGCATCGGTGTGCCTCTCAGCAGAGGCGTTAGGTTTGCGATTGCAGCGGCGCAAGAATTCGGAACGACCTGTGACAATTTGGCGCAAGTGCTGGTGCCATACCGAGGGCGGCAAAGGCACGTGTCCAGTGCTTTTCTTCGGTGCTTTCTTTGAGCAAGCGGGCGTAGGCACGCGGGCCTTCGCGTGTTTCTCTCCCGCGGAAGCCGTGGCCGCCATCCGGATTGCTGTCGGAGCGGTGGGCGAAGCGCGCCCGGAGGAATTCGACACGAAGGCGCTCCGCCGCGGTCGCGCGCTCGACTTAGTCGAGCGCGGGGCAGGCCCGGCCGAGATACTTCGAGCGGGCGGCTGGCGGAGCGCTGCCTTTTTAGAGCATCTGCCCGTAGAGTCTCTCGAGCGGGGCGCTACCTTCGAGGCCGGGGGCAATTGTTCTTCCGACAGCGAGGTGTAAAGAAAAGTGCTAGCGAATCTTGCCGGTTGGAGCGCGCGCGCTGGCGCTCCGGCGGCGCGCGTGCATTGGGTCTGCGCCTGCGCGCGCGTAGCGCGCGCGGCTGGGCCTCCCGCCGAGTGCCCGGCGCTCCGTGGCATTGGGTGTTCGCGCTGGGCGCTCGGCTTGGCCGACGACGCAGGGAAGTGCCCGAGCCACCTTCAGCTCGGGGCACCGTTGAGCGCGGCCAGGGTCGAGCGCCGCACCCATCGTCGCGGTGCGACGCGCCGAGCCGTTTTGCGTCCGTGCCAAGGTGCTGTGGTGGGCGATCATCGCGCAACGTTGAATCGCGGTCACGAAAGCGCGGGGCGGGCGCCCCCCACCCCATCCCCCATGCCTGGGCGAACGGGAAGGGGCGCCGCGCGACGCGCGGCGGCGCGGGGCGACGCTTGCCCAGGCGATGGGCGCGAGGCGTCGCGCAGGCCGCCCTGCTTGCATGGGCGAGCGCGCGAGGGGGCGCGTGCGCCGCCCAGGGTTGGGAGGGGCGTCGCGCACGCACGGCTGGTGGGGGGTGTCCCGCCATGCTCGGCGAGAGGCACCTGCGGTGCGGCTTTTGCCCGCCCACCGCTCCCTTGTTGGCCATTCGGCTTGGGGTGTTCGCACTGGGCGCTCGGCTGGGCCGACGACGCAGGACAATGCCCGAGCCACCTTCAGCACGGGGCACCGTTGCGCGCGGCCAGGGTCGAGCGCCGCACCCGTCGTCGCGGTGCGACGCGCCGAGCCGTTTGGCGTCCGTGCCAAGGTTTTGTGGGATGCCAGTTGGAGTGTCTTGGGAGGCCTTTCGGAAACGTCTTCAACGCAGTTTTGGGGCGTCTTGGGGCCCTATCGGGTGCCTCTTGCGGGCCTCCTTGTTGGGGTCTCTTTTGGCTTCGTTTGGGCCTCTTCGGGGCCTCCCGGGGCTTCTTGGGGGCCTTTTGGGGGCCTCCTGGCGGTCTCGGGGGTCGTCTTGGGGCGGAGGGCTCGGCGCGTCAGTTCGTGCTCCCTCTCTTGGGCGGCCTCTAGGAGCCCTCTTGGAGTCCTTTTGGGCCGTCTTGGGGCTCTCTTGGGCCGTCTTGGGGCCGGCTCGGGCGCCTCTTGGGACGTCCTGGGGCCTCTCGGGCCATCTTCGGGGCCACCTTGGTGGCCTTTCGCCGTCTTTGGGCGATCTTGGGGTCCTCTGGGGCCGTCTAGGAGCTTCGGGAGCCGGAGTAGGCGAGAACCGGGAATCTTTCGAACACCTGCAGAAAATCATGGAACTTTGCCTATTGGGGTTCCTCTTGGGCGTCCTCTTGCAGCTCTCTTGGGGCGTCTTGGGGGCCTCGATGATTGTTTTGAAGCCAGCTCGTGCGTCTTGGGGCGCCCTCGGGCCGTTTCGGAGCTTGGAGCGTCTGGGGGCCGTCTTTGGCCCCCCTGGCCTCAGGACAAGTCCTGCAACAGGCGCGCGGCAAGCCCACAAGAGCGCCTGGAACTCGGGGCTGTGGGCCCCTTCGAAAGGAGCTTTGCAGTATTCGACGCGCAGGAGTCTAAACGACCTGAGGACACTCCAGCTTGTGCCTCGAGGCACGGTCATTCCGTTTGCCTAGTCTGTGCTTCATATTTGTCAGTTCGTTGGCAGAATTGACAATAGGCTGGTAATTATCTTGTTGGTGTGTGTTCCCCTAACTGTGTTGTCTCGCTCGCAGGAAGGACAAACGCAGGGCTACTACGCATCGTTACGAAATGGTCCCCACATGATTCACGTAGACACTAATTTTGGATGTATCCAGAATTCAATGCAACATGTGGTCCAAACTTGCAGAGCATTCATCTATCATGCGGGCTCTTGGGCGGCTCTTGGGCTGCCCAGGGGGCCGATTTTACGAGATTATGGTGCGTGTGCCTTCCCGACGGTGGCACCGTCTTGTCTTCTCCGTCAGCCTCCTCGCGGCTGTAGCCCGCATGCTCTGGTCAAGCGCGTGCTTGCCGTCCTCCTCCGCCTAGCTGTCTGGCGGGACCCTCTCCCCACGGTCCGTCGCTCTCTCGCCGTCCGTCGTCTCCCCTTCTCACCGGCTACCCACGCCTCGGTGTCCCATGGTGCGGAGTTTCTTGCTTCCGAGGGCCCGTCGCGCGCGCGGGGTCTGCGCGCGGTGGTACTCGACTTTGTACGCTCCGTCGCTACGCGGGAAGCCGCGACCGTCAAGCAGTCTGTGTATGTGTGTGTGTATGTGTGCGTGTGTGTGCGTGTGTGCGTGTGCGCGTGTGCGCGTGTGCGTGCGTGCGTGCTTGCGTGCGTGCGTTTGTGTGCGAATACGCGTGCACTGCTGGTGCTACAGGTTTGTTCGCAGCGTCGCTGTGTTTGATGACGCCGTCGTTTATGATTGCACATGCGTTGGCGCAGCAACATACATCGGCGGCAGCAGGGCGACGTAGTGCTCAGAAGGTCTTGTATTCACAGAGTTGCATCGCCCTCTTGCCGTTGCTGCTTGGCGCCATGTCTTTTGATCGTCGACATCATCGAAGAGGGAAGAGGGTCCGCTGATTTGTTGGCTTGTCATACTCTCTAGATATTTGCGGCGCGTATGGTGGCCACTAGCTCGTCTGTCTTTTCAGCTGCCACTTCCCCTGCCGCCTGCTGCCCGCTGCCCGCCATCGCCATCGCTGTTGAGCTCATTCTCATTGTCGTTGTTGTGGATGTGGGGTTCGATCACCACCGCGTCCGCGATTGGTTGTGGTGGTGAATGTGTGAGGCCCGCAGAAAGGTGGTTGACAACTGCCGCCATTGATGCTGGCGGTTGTCGTTGTTGCCACTAGATTCCCGCCGTCGCCAACGCCGCCGCGGCTACTATGCCTGCTTTTGCCATAGTTGCCCCTTTTGGTCGCGGGCCCGGTCGTGGCCATTGTCGATTTCGCTGTCGAGGC